TAAAACACAATGTGAGCCAANTTAGGCTTAGGCTTAGGCTTAGGCTTAGGCTTAGGCTTAGGCTTAGGCTTAGGCTTAGGCTTAGGTTTAGTCTTAGGTTTAGAACTCGCGGTTATTACTTGTTCATTGAAGGTGCGCTTTTGTCGGCGCGCTGTTTTCAGCGCGCTTCTGCGCTCATTCGTCGGTGCGATTTAGAACTCGCGGTTTTCTCGCCGCGGTTTCATCAGCAGGCTTTTGTCGAGCGTGCATTTGTCGGTGAACCGAATAGAATAGAATATTATTCTAAAAGTTTTTATTTTTAGACAGACATAGACAAACAAAACATAAAACATAAAGCCACCTTCGATTACATACAGTGTATTGATTGGTTACAAGGTTTTTGTGCATCTTTTCCATAGTCATCCCTTACAATTTACATGAAATCACATATTATCAAGTCAATATGTGAATCGGCTCTGGAGGATGTGGAGGATCCTGGACAGGATTCCGACTCTAAGCAGGGCACAGAGAGGCTGTTTGGCCACCAGGAGGCACCTGAGCCTTGGACCAGTGGGGAGAAGACAAGGGAGAGTGAGCCGGACGCCAGCAGTGAGTGGTTCCTGGATGCCCGGCACCAAAGAGCTAATAGGCATTAGGAACAGTTCCGCAAGTACAGGAGGTAATTGCACTCAGCTGGTGGTCATTAGGCTCCTCTCCAGACTATAAAGGACTGCTTGTGCATACGCCCCCCTTGCAGAAGTCAACGTAGGAACTAATGTTGGAGAACATTATTGTGAGCTTGGCAGGCTGGATTGTTGCCACGACTTGTCTGTGCTGGGTTGCTGCCAAGGACCTGTCTGTCTGTTAATTAAATTCCATAACTTATCTTTGGCTCGGAGTGTGCTTTGGTGTGGGACAAGGGGGGTCAGAACACATATCTAAAGAAACAAAATTTATCGAGGATTACTACGGAACAGAGGCAAATTACCAACAGACCTATAACAAAAAGGTGNGGGTTATTTGTTGGGTAAATGTTGGTAAATGTTGGGTAAATGTTACCCAACATTTGTTGGGTAGACAACAAATGTTGCGGTAGATAAATTTAATTCAGGAATAGGTCAGCCCCTTCAACGTAGCCATCTTCCCGGATAGATTTTTCGAAATCCTGACGTTTAAGTTCTGGAGTTTTTCGTTTTATTTATTTATTTTTAAACGAAGGGAAATTTTCTCACTGCCGACCTGCCGATCTTTCGTAAGAGGACTCAGCGGCTGATCTCTGGCACACAATGCTTGGCAGAGCTTAAGAAAATCCTTTTTTTTTTTTAAAGGAAAGGAACAATCGAGCTCTTACATCAAGGGGATTAAGAGCAGCATCAGCAAGGATCAGGTTGAGCTGAGCGGGAGATCGACTGAGATGATCCCCGGTTGACTTTGGTTCCAGAGAACGGATCCCAAGATTATGCCCTGACCCACTCACTCAGTCACTCACTCCCATCCTTCCTCCCTTCTTTTTCTTCCACTCTTCCTCCCTTCCCTTCTCTCCTTTGTCCCTCCCTCCTTCTCTCTCTCTTCCTCTTTTCCTTCCTTTTTTCTTCCTTCCTTCCTTTCCTGCATCCCTGCCCCCTTCTGTCCATTCTTCCATTTTCCTTCTTTCAGTGGTGGGATTCAAATAATTTAACCACCGGTTCTCTGTCCTAATGATTTCTTCCAACAGCCAGTTCACCAATCTGCTTAGAAAGTTACCAACCGGTTCTCCCGAAGTGGTGCGAACTGGCTGAATCCCACCACTGCCTTCCTTCCACTCTCTATCCCTTCCTCCTTCCCTCCCTCCCTTCGTCCCTCTTAGCTGTCCCTTTTTCCCTCTTTACTCCCTCTTTCCAACATCCCTTTTTCCCTCCCTCCTTCCTCTCTTCATTCTTCCTCTTTCCTTCCTTCCTCCCATCCTCTCTTCTTTTTCTTCCACTCTTCCGACCCATCCTTCTTTGCTTTATCCCTCCCTCTTTTCCTTCCTTTTTTCTTCCTTCCTTTCCTGCATCCCTGCTCCCTTCTGTCCCCTCTTCCTTTTTCCTTCCTTCCACCTTCTTTCCAACAATCCTCTTTTCCTTCCCTCCTTCCCCTCTTCTTTCTTCCTTTTTCCTTTCCTTCTTTTTCTTCCTCTTTTCCTATCCTTCCTTCTTTCCTTTATCCCTCCTCCTTCTCTCCCTTTTCCTCTTTTCCTTCCTTTTTTCTTCCTTCCTTCATTTCCTTCATACCTCCCTTCTCTTCCTCTTTTCCTTCCCTTTTCTTCTTTCCTGCCTTCCTTTTCTTCATCCCTGCCCCTTTCTGCCCCCTCTTCCATTTTCCTTCCTTCCACCCTCTGTCCCTTCCTCCTTCCCTCCCTCCCATTCCTTCATCCCTCTTATCTGTCCTTCTTTCCCTCTTTCCCTCCCTCCTTCCTCCTCTCTTTCTTCCTTTTTCTTTCCTTCTACCCATCCTCTCCTTGCCATTTTAATCTTGTCTCCCTTTTGTTACTTTGCATTTTATCTTTTATAGGAACTTAATAAAATCAGGGGTTTGTTTTTTAAATAAAGAGAGAAATGAGGTTGAAATGGAGGCCAGATGAGGGAAGGAACAGGCCCCCCTAAATCCTTTCCTATCACCCCAATTCCCTCTGCTGGCTGAGACAGGGACACATGGGGGAGACATGGAGGTTCTTTTACTTGGCTGTGGCACAGATCTGGGGGAGGGCTCTGCCCTCAGCACTGAAAGCAGCCTTATTTCCACCCCAAGGGTGGGTGGCCTCTGATGTGGGGAAGAAGACCCCTCCTTTCCCCCCTGCAGACAACCCACCAAAGCTTCCAGGTGGTGACCAGCTGACCAGAATCTCCTCCTCCACGTGGCCTCCGTCCCTGCTGCGTAAGGCACCCTGCCACAACACAATCTGAGGCTGGCGTGGGTGCCAGAGGGAGCAAGTGTGCAAACAGTGTGCCTTCTGACACACGATAGGGACAGGGAACACAGTGCGGTATTGTGTTATCAGGATCTGGGATCTGCTTTGAGCCAAGTTCACGTAACCAGAAGGAAACCCAAGAAAGTTCCTCTCCTGAGGATGAGACCTGGCAGGACAAAGGGGCAGCTGAACCAGGGGAGGGGAAGGGGGAGGGTGGGGAGGAGAGGAAAAGAGGGGAGAGGAGAACAGGAGGTAAGTGAAGAGGGGAGGAGAAAAGAGGGGAGGGGGGGAAAGTATTGTTTCATTTTTTTTCATTTAGGGATAATTGGGAGGAAAGTGA